CTGAGGGAGGCCCTGCCTTGCCTTGCTGCCCCCAGACGAGGTCGAGCCCCAGCCCGAGTTCCCAAAACAGCCCCTGGTGTGGGAGGAGGACGCCCAGCTCTTCTCATTCTTCCTGGATAGGAAGGTGAGCGGGAGCTGGGGAGACGTGGGGCACAGGGGGCCTTGGGGCCGAGCCCAGCGCGGCCTCCCCACGGCACCGGGGCAACCCGACCCCGTCGCCTTCGCCGCCGAATTCTTCGCCCCCTTTGCTCGCCGGCGCCCCCCCGGCGCCCGCTTTGCCGCGGCCTCCGACACCCCCGGTGCCCCGGGGAAATAAAGGAGTCAGCGGATCCCATGCACCGGCCTCTGCTGCTTTGGGAAACAGCGGGGGACTGTGCGCCAGGTGCCCAGGGACAGAGCTCCCAAGCTCTGTGGGGCTGGCAGGGGGACAGAGGAGCAGCTGTGAGCGGAACACACAAGTTTGTGTCTTTATAAATAAGGGAGTTCCCCCACATTCTTTGGCTGATGAGCGGGAAGAAGGAGTATAAACAGGGGGAGACTGAGCAGAACCATGAGTGAGTGGGACAAAACAGCATATGGAGCTGGGTGCCTTTACAAATTAGAGAATTCCCCCACATTCTTTGCTGATGAGAAGGACAAAGCCGGGGACACTGAGAGGAGCCGTGAATGAGGGGACAAAAGAGCACATGCCAAGAAGGAAATTGCTCCCCTTCTTTGGCAAGGGGGCAAAGGAGTCAGGCGAGCCCAGGTGAGAACAGGAGGAAGGAGGCAGGGAGCTTGCTGTAGGCAGGCCAGGGAGGCTGTAATTTACCAGTACCTTGGCCAATGGGGGAAAGGAGAGGGCATCCCTGGGTCGGGAAATGGGGATAAAAGGGGGCTGTGTCCTCCAGCAATCTGAGAGACCCCACAGGGATATGCCAGGTGGAGTCTCACTTTATTCAAAGGCAGTGTTAGGACCCCTCTGCCTCCTTTTTGGGCATTCAGTTCTTGACAGCGAGATTTCCCGCACAGCTGGACACAACCCGGGCGCCCGCGGGTGCACCCGGCTGTGCCCCCACAG